CCCGCCCCTCCCCGCCCCGCGCTGCCGAGCGGTTCCCGCCCTCGCACAGCGCCCAGGTAGCTGCGAGGAAACTTTTGCAGCGGCTGGGTAGCGTGGCTCGTCTCTCTCTCCTCAGGGCCACCGCCAGGCTTGCTGAGTCCCGGGAAGGCTCTCGCTCCGGCGGCTGCCACTCTCTCGCACTCTCCTAGCTCCCCGCGAAGCAGGATGGCTAGGACCGTGCGCACCGCGTGCTTGGTAGTGGCGATGCTGCTGGGTTTGGAGTGCCTGGGACAGGCGCAGCCCCCGCCGCCTCCGGACGCCACCTGTCACCAGGTTCGCTCCTTTTTCCAGAGACTGCAGCCTGGACTCAAGTGGGTCCCCGAAACCCCCGTGGCAGGTGAGTAGGGGCCCCTCGCGCGTTCCTTGCGCCCCGCGGGGAGCCCAGGGGCGCAAGGCTGTATGGCCAGCGCTAGTCCCGCGGGGCCCGGGTCGTGCGCCTTGTGTCTGGGTACCTGGGAGCGGTCGGTGTGCCTGGGTCTCCTGAGAGGGGGAACAGGGTTTGTATGGACCTTGTTCGCACGACCCAGGCTCGCGCTGCTGTCAGGGAATATGAAATCAGGAGGAACGCAGGGGGTCGCCTTCCCACGAGTGCTCATTTTTGGGGAGGGCGGGAAGGTGGAAACTAGTTCTTCAACCCCAGGGAACTCAAGTGGAGCTGCTACCTCGGGAATTTCTCACCCCTGCTTGCACGTCTATGTGAGAATTTCAGCCTTATCATGACCGCGGCTCTTGCCAGCCTTTCCCCAACGTGTCCCCACGCCCTGCTGTCCCCAGTCTGGGTTCCCGAGGCACGCGGGCCCAAATACAGGCAAAGTTGAGGACAGATCTGGGAATCTGCAGTTGTGGGTGAAGACATGCTGAAGGAAACTTTTGAGAAAGAGCCCCCCCCCCCCGTCATGAGGACTGAGCCTTTCCCTTCAGAACAGCGTCCCGTTTCTAGGTTGGCAAAATCGCTTCAAAATTGGTGGTGCTGGCCTGTGGGGTAGGAGTCCAAGATGATTTAACTCCTCTCCCTCCCAGATTCATCTGACAGGCTGGACCCTGAAGGGGAGATGGTTCTAGGTGGAGGAAGTTACTGAACGCCTGCTTTTTGTTCTGCACAATCAGATCGTGCTGTAAGGGCGTATTTTTACCTTAGCTGAGGGCTGCTGCTGTCAACAGATGAATATTAATGGCCTTCTTTGATTGACTGTCCAGCAGTTGGGCACCTAACGCTTGCCTTAGAATCCAATTAGGACAAGTTGCTGCACTGACTATGCGGGCAAAAAGAGTAGGTTTCAAACAGGTTAATTTATCAGAGGTGCGCTCGGGAGAAAAGGCGATTGTGTTCACAAATGGTGAGACGTTTGTGGCCTCCGGGGTCTCTTTTCCACTGTGCTTCCAGCGAGGCTCGCGTCCCGAGCTTGGGAGAGATCTGGGAGCAACCCTCGCCAAAACTTGGCTGATGGCTCTCAACAAGTCAGGGAGGCAGGTCTGATGCTTGGTCGAAGTTGTGAATACGGATGCGCTCCCCGTGAGCGCTGCCAGCAAGCGTTCACTGGCAGGAGGTTACCTAGGCAGCCAGTGCGCCCTCAGCCTTTTCTTTTGGTTGATGAAAAGAGCCAAGAGAACCCGCTGTTTAGTTGCAAAGGTAATTGGTCACCCCTTTTGGTGGCTGAAATGCATTTGCACATATGCTAAATATTGCTTTGCAGGATATCGCTCTAAGAGAGGTTAGAACTAACTACCTCTTCCACTGTTGAGTGTTAGTAACGTGCCACGTGGGCGTGTGCTGGAGCTGTAAGGGGCAACCTATGAATCAGTTCCACAGAGCTGAAACAACAGGCGAATCTCTCCACTGGAAGTGCCATGGTAATTAGATTGGTAAGGCTAGAGAACATGCTTTTGTTGATAATGTAAAAACTGGTTCTCACAGGCTGAATCCCCCCTGGATGAATGGGGTCCAGGTTTTGGGATTGGGGCCACCGTTGGGTGATTTGAAACCAGGGAGTAAAAGTGGTGCTTAAAAGAAGAAGAAGAGCAGAGGAAAGTACAGATATTCATTCAGCACCCCCACCACCACACACACACACACACACACACACACACACACTCACTCATACAGGCATTCACCCTTCCTC